GCCACACTCCTCCATGCCCTGCCACACACTGACCGTGGCATATTATTTGATTTTACTTTTCCATGTTTTGTTGTGGTGATGGGGGTCTTAACCATGTAGCTGTGGTTAGCCTTGAACTTGCTATGTAACTCATGGTGCCCTCAAAACGTCACACCCTCTGTCTTTGACCTCCAGACTTTTGGCCACTGTACATAGCCAGATTGTTTTAATGGCTTGAGCCTTCAGCCAGGCTCTATGTTCTTAAAAGGAGCTGTCCTTTGTTGAAGCCCTAGAGAATTATTGCTGGCTTCTGAGATCCTTAGTAACTACAGGTCTCCCCAGCTCCAAGCATTCTTTCTTGTAACCCCTTCTCCAGAAAGCTTTGATTTTGTAAATGCAAGGCAGAAGAAGACACGTTTTTCATTCTTTGTTTCTTAGCAGAAACAGACAGAGTCCCTGCAAACATTCATACCATGGATTTAGGGAAGCAGACAGACCAAGGACCTTCTTCTGTGGACTTCACTTTCTTCGGGGGGGGGGGGAACACAATAGATGATGAAGAACTGGATATAGCAACTCACATAGCAATAACACATCAGCAGAAAGACCATGAGGAGATGGGTAGCGTGAGGAGCCATTTGGACGATGACCTCAGGATAGGCTCTTTGAGGAAGTGGCCTTTGCAGTTGAGTGCAGTTGTGAAGATGGGCTGAAGATTGGGAGGAAGAACACCAGAAGTAGATGGGGACAGCAAGCGTAAAGACTGTGACATGGGGACACACTGGACATGTGGCAGCAACAACAGCAAGATGGCTGAGGTGACTGCATAGGCAGGGGCAGGAACAGCCACAAACACCATTCCCACCCTAATCTGAAAAGTGTAGCACAGAGCTCGGCTCCGGTCACCTGAGTGTGGCACCACTTCGAAGTAAGTTCCCCACTGTAGGCTCAGGGAGACAAGACAACTGCTTGTCTTCCAGAACAACAGCTGGCAGAGGCCAGTGAAGATATCCACCAAGTACCCTCTACTCCTAACAACAAAACAAACCCCAGGTCAGGGAGAGGGATCAGCAGGTAAAGGTGCTTGACACCAAGCCTGTTGACCTGAGTTCAAGCCCCAGGTCCCACGTGGAGCAAAGAGAGAGCCAGCACCTAAAAGCTGTCCTCTGAACTCCACATATGTGCTGTGGCACACACGCTCTCCCCCATCCCCACAAAACAACTGCAATTTTAGAAAGAAATGCATATTTTTAAAGAAGAATCCCATGAAAACCTGGGTGAGGCATGACATCTGAAAGGCTCAGCCTAGTCAAGGGGCCAGGCTGGAAGTTCGTGTGTCTCTTGACTGCAGCGTTCAGCAGCTATTGTTATCCTATAACAAGCACGGGGTTCCAGGCAGGAAGAAGATAGCGCCTTCAGAGGTTTGCCACCTCTTCTTGCCTTTGAGGGAGGATAGCTATGTTCCCAGAGGGCAGGCTAGCAGCCTGAAGCCTGAGGGGCCTGGGTTCTTGCTCTCTGCACACCTCTGCAAAGCTGGATGGGCTTCCATGAGCTCCTTCTCTGCTCTCCGCCTCACTTCCCTCCTAGAACACGGAAGAAGTTCCACAAGCAGGTTCTCCCCACTTTACCGGTCTCTCTGGGACTCTGGCTCTTTCCCCACCCCTGAAGCAAAGAACACGAGAACTCCTGCTTTTCAGGATCCACACCGATCATGACCAGATAATGCACATGTTATTCCTGGCTTATACGTCATCCAGTGTTGTCTGCTTAATCCTTGTGCATACAGGGTCCCCTGTGGAACTCTCCAGATCTATCTGCAGCAACTTTACACCTTCCTTTAGAATTGGTGGGGGACTTTAAGCTGGAGGATGGATGGGAGGAGGAGAACACATAATCTGAGGTTTCGTAAGATGTGATAAGCCGGGAGTTTACCCCTAGAACCTGAACTGAGGAAAGGGGAAGGGAGTTCAAGGTCAGACTGGGCTACGTCGTGAGACCCTGTCTCAAACAACAATCAAAAGAATCTATGATAGAGGTAGAGCTGATTATCTACTTTTTATTGGCAAAGAGTCTGAGATCGTGGTGCAGTGTCCCCCATTTCTTCCTCCTTTCCTCTGTCCTCTTTTTTCCTTGGTTTTGAAACAGCGTCTCAATCTGTAGTCTAGACTAGCACAGGAATTTAGGCCAGGGTGTGTGTTTTTGTCTGGCAGAGACTCTCTTTAATAGCCAAGTATGACCTTGAACTCTTGAACTCTTTCCTGCCTCTGTCTTCCACATCCACCTCAACTGGTCATCACTTCCACTGGTCAATACATCTTTGGTCCTGTGTTCCCTCCCCATTTTGCTTGCTTCTCCTTTTTTTCTTTTCCCTCCCCATCCCTTCCTTCCTTCTTCCTGTATGTATCTCATTATGTAGCCCAGCCTGGCCTCAAGCTTGAGCTGTTCCAGCCGCTATCTCCGAAGTGCTGGGATTCCACCGTGCAGCACCACAGCAAGTGAGAACTGCGTTTTAATATGAAGATTTGGTGGTGGCATTAACAGGGCATCAGAGCTGCTGGAGGGGGGTGGCTTTCATTGGCAGACCACGTCTAGGTGTTTGGCAGCCCTGCTTAAATCTGATGCTGAAAGAATAAGGGAATGATTCCCCATCCCTCTATGTCAGAGAGGCTGTTGAGTGCTCCTTCTGAGGCCTGAGTTCTGTCCCTCTTTCTTGTGTCCTCTCTGAATTCCAATTCTCTATCTGTGAGGCAGAGGTCCCACACGTGCCCCGCCTCCTTCCTTGGGTTGTGCTCCAGCCACTAGGACACTGGGCACTCACACCTGTTTGTGAAGTGAGCCACATGAGTGCAGGTGACAAGGCCACAGCAGACCACAGCTAACTGGCGTGGACTTCAGGAAATGGTATCACTTCACTAAAGCTTCTACTTTTCTTCTGGAAGAGGAGATAATCCTGCCTCCTCCAAACAAGCAGACATTCAGGAGCAGGAATGAGAACCATCTTAGAAAGTAATACTGTTTTCTTCTTCTTTGTCTCCTGGCCTTCAGTCTAACTCTTCTCCCCCTAGAAGACCACTGGGGTTCCTCTGGGTACCTACCAGGGTGCTGGGTGCAACACAAGCTTTCTCATGAACACCCCTGCCCTTCCCAGTTTACATGTCTGCATCGTTGCTGGAAATGCCTAGCACAGGGAAACGTGTGTGAGCAACCTCACATCCCCTGTCAGCCTTAGGAGGGTTCCCGGAACAGCGTGTCCACTCAGAACCTGGGGCTGGCACAGACACACATCCTTTTCTGGAGAGCATAGCCTCGAGGCAGGAGGAACTCAGGGTGACTCAGCTTCACGGGTGACCAAGAGCCTGTGAAGTAAAACAGACCAGCGCTCCAGCAGGGCTGCCTTCGGATCCCAGGGAGGAAGGGGCGGCTGGAGAACTCACTCCTCAGGCTGGTAATGCCTACTGAATGTTTGCCCTCCTGCTGAGACCTTAGCACAGCCGGCAGGGAGGTTAGACATTTCACCCAGAATTATACAGGAGACAGCAGAGTAGGGATTTGAGCAGAGGCCTCTGACTTAGATGCCCTTGTTCTTCCTACACGTCAGGAAAGAAATGTCCTTTCCCCAACTCCCACTTCCCGTGACACTGCAGAGTTCCCTCTGTGTGATTAAAACAAAACAAAACCTGACCCATTGAAATTTTTTTTTTTCACTTTTGAGAGTTTGGAACAGATAATACCCCCAGGTCCTTTTACCAGCTGCATTCAGGTGGAATATTCCTCTCCTCCCACCCATGGTTTGGGACTGGCTCATAGATAGGGGATGTACAGGGGTGGGCAGGGGGTGCTAGGGGTACAGGGATGTGTGGAGGTGTGCATGGGTGACAAGAGTAAACAGACAACACTTGTCTACTTGCAGGGCAACAAACAGATTGGCTGCTAGCAGACTCGCTTCCGTGGATCTGTCCAGCACCTGAGTCAGAGCCACCATCTACCTTGGTTTGGGGGTCAAGGGTTGGGAACACCACTGCTAGGGAACATTCAGAGGAGATGTGGCCCGGCAGGAAGCACAGGGCCGTGCCAAACAGGAAAGAGGAGGGCGAGCCTGTTAGGCACCGAAACGTCACCAGGATGCATGCCAAAGCTGGGCGGGCTGAAATACTGGGGCAGAGCCGCTGGGCACATGACTCTGTTGAAAGCCTCCCAGGGAATGACTTCTAATCCCTGCCTTAGTGAAGGATTTGAGGAAGGCTCCAGCCTGCCGACTGCTGGGCTGGGCCATGGGGGGAATCCTGTGCTGGCCCTGTGCTGGCACACAGCCACAAGGACACTTCTCAGGGAAAGCCTTTGGCCCAATAAGTCTGTTTTCTCGTTTCGTTGGAAACTGGGATTTGGAATCTGCTCAGGGGAAAAAAAATGTAACCTACAAACAAATAGCCCTGGCCCTCTGTGCCTCCCTTGGAGCCAGGTCAAGGCCGGGGAGAGCTCAGCGGCTCTGGACTCTCTAGGTGCAGACCAACCCCTGTAGTCAGTCTCTGGCTGCCCTAAAATAATGGCTCCTCTCCGTTCCCCTCCCCCAGTGATGCTCTTGCCCCAAGTCTTTGCATAGTAAATGCTCAACAAATGTTGCTTAATATCTTTATTAATTTCCTCAGTTCTGTCATAGCCTTCACAGCAGATAGGATTTGTCTCATGCAGTTATCGCGTGACAAGTCTGTGGGCTTCTTGAGGGCAGGGATTGTGTGTTCATTCTCCAGTGTCTTCAAGCACATGTTTATCCAGAGGAAATTCCATGGGTGGCAATCTGGTCATTCAAGTTGGTGATGAAATGTACAGACTTACGTCTAGAGTTCCTAAAGCAGTTTGGAGTCACTGTAGCCTGAAGAACAGAGACGAGGGAGGACACAGAAGATCTTAGCTTACTTCTGTTTCAACCCTCTGCTAGTTTCCTTAGAAAGATTAATCTTTTTTGAACCCTAACTACCTACTTTCCAAAATGCAGATAATGGTCTTGTTTGTCTTCTTCACAGGTCTGCTGTGGGCATCAGTGAGCGTGCACAGAGGGGGTGCCAAGTTGGCATCTGTCTTACCTGTGTGCTGATTATTCTATGAGTCTCCTTGGAGGCCACTGCCATCACCCCCACTGTGATTTAAACAGGAATGTCCCCCATTGGCTCCCACATTGGAGCGCTTGGTTTCCAGCTGGTGGTGCTGTTTGGAAAGGTCATGGAGCCTTGAGGAGGTGGAGTCTTGTTGGAGTCACAAGAGTGAGCCTGGAGGTGGAGTCCTGTCTGTGCTCTGGATTCTGACTGTAGATCAGAATCTGCCCTGAGTTCCTGCTGCCAGACCTTCCCTGCTGTGATGGACTGAATCCCTTTTCTACTGTGAGCCAGAAGACACTCTTCATCGTTAAGTAGCTGCTGCCACAGCAATGTGAAAAATAAATCTACAACTGTTAAACTTGTCAGAACATGAGCTGTGGGTGCTGCAGTGGGTAGACAGGTCAGCCTGACTTTTGTTTTTTCTGCTTCCTGTGATCCAAATGTGGTGTGGGACAATTCTGTATTCTCTGAATTATGTTTTAAATAAACACTGATTGGCCAGTAGCCAAGCAGGAAGTATAGGTGGGACAACCAGACGGGAAGTAGAGGTGGGGCAATGAGAACAGGAGTATTCTGGGAAGAAGGAAGTTCTTCCCACAGTCCTGTCTAGACATCTAAGAAGAAAGATGTAACCTACCCAGTTGAAAAAGGTACTAAGCCATGTGGCTGATATAGATAAGAATAATGGGTTAATATAAGTTACAAGAGTTAATAAGAAGCCCGAGCTAATGGGCCAATCAGTTTATAACTTATGCAGACTGCTGTGTGATTTTTTTGGGATTTACCAGCTGTGGGAACTGGGCAGGACAAAAACCCCAACAAGCAGGCCCTCCTGTTACACAAATGTGTATTTCTTTTTTTTTTAAATATTTATTTATTTATTATGTATACAATATTATTGTCTGTGTGTATGTCTGCAGGCCAGAAGAGGGCACCAGACCCCATTACAGATGGTTGTGAGCCACCATGTGGTTGCTGGGAATTGAACTCAGGACCTTTGGAAGAGCAGGCAATGCTCTTAACCTCTGAGCCATCTCTCCAGCCCCAAATGTGTATTTCTTAAATTTGGAGATATTCACATCATACTTGTCAGGGGTTGACTTTAACCTTTAACCTTTGAGAGCTTATTTTGACTGCACCACTTTCCAGCTTTACTCCTGACCTAATATTTCGGAGTCTATTTTCGTAGGTGTCCCGTAAAATGTAGCATCAAACACTCATGGCACTTGCTGTTTGCTATTGCACGATTAAAGAAGGGAGAAGCCAGGGGTTATCTGAAGGTGTAGAAGTATGAGACAAGGTCTTAACTCTGTAGGAGTTTATACTATGGCTTATTAGCCACAGCAGAATTCTAGACTGGTAGGCAAAGCGCATGATATGACAAAGATGGTCTGTGAAGACTCTACAGAGAAATGGGCTTTGTATTCAGCCTTACAAAACACTGATGCTTGCGTTGGAGTCCTGGGAGGTCAGTGCCACTGGGCCCTGCTGATAATAAAGGTATGGGTGGAACTGCAGTATTTTTTTTTAATTTCTGAGCATAATACATTTATGTATTCATTATATCTGAGCATTCAGACATTTTAGCAATGTAACCATTTAAAAAAATATCTGAATCCCCCAAACTGTTGACATTCTGAGATTGCTGACTTCGTGATAAGAATGTGTGTGTGTATGCGTGTATGTGTGTGTGCATGTGATTCATCAGCCATGATATATTTTACCTAAAAGATGCCATCGAGAAAGCTATTTGCCAAAAATTTTTAAATTTTATAGCTTCTGCAAAATGATAACAAGTTCTTAGATCAGTTAGGTCAAGGTACAATGTGAGCTAATACACTAATAGTAACTCAGAAAATAGTGATACAAAAATATGCAATTATAAACCATTTAGTAAACTGAAAATAAAGGTACTTGATATGAAGGCAGAACACAGACTTAGTCGTAGTCAAAAGTTAAAAGTCAATTCCTAGTGTTTGTGTTCACACCTAAAAATCAGAAGAATGAATGAGATGTAAGCAACTAAATATCTAACCAACGAATCTGGAAAACAAGATGCAAAGTAACACCGAGACAAGCTGGAAAACAAAACAAAAACTGTACAAGGTTGAAAAGCTAACTTAAAAAGGACTAAAATCATAGAATTCAGAGAGAATGTACAGGAAAAACAAAATAGAATCCTGTAGAAAACTCACTCAACAACAAGGGGGCAGGAGGAGGGAGCAAGCAAGCATCAAATAGCTGGTGTCTGAAAAGGCTGTAAAATCCCAACTCCTTACCACTCTCGGTCACTGAACTGATCCTGTGTGCTATATATTAGTGTTTCCATTTCCTCTAACGATCAAACTGAGGATCCGAGAACCTAGGTTACTTTTGATGCCATTCAACCGGTGAGCAGTAAAATCAGTTTTTGAAGCCATGTCTCCTAATTTAGTTGAATATTTCCTCAATAATCACACAGCATTCTTTAGGGATGAGTGTAAAAGAGGAAGAATAGAGAAGCGCCATTCCCGTGCCGACCTACGAGAGCTTGTAACAAGTCGCCACAAGCCAGAAGACTTAACAACCACGAACTCCGTTCCCACAGTTCTGGGGATTAAAAGTCTGAAATCAAGGAATCATCAGCCACACTGTCTGTGAAGGCCACAAGGGGGAAGCTGTCCTCGTTCCCAACAAGGTTGTAGCGGTGGCTGGGATTCCTCGCCAGTTCTCAGAGTTCTGTGCCTTCTCATCTCTGCCTCCATCATTACATAGTCTCTTCCTACAATAGTTCATCTTCACTTTCGGCCTGACAGGATTTAGAATCACCTATGTGTCTCTCTGAGAGTGTCCCCCGGGAAGTGTGACTGAGGAAGGAAGATTCGCCCACCCAAGGTACCTCCTGGGATCTTGGAACTAACTGCAGGTATTTCTTACTCTGCGTCCTTGGGCAGATGTCCTGACTAGACACCTCACAGTTTTGCTGCCATGCCTCCCCCTCCCTCCCCATGGACTGTGTATTTTCTTAAACTGACCAAAAGAAATGCTTTCTTCAAGTTGTTAATGTCAGGCATTTGTCAGAGCAGCGCAAAAGGTCACTTAAGCTACTCCCCGCGTCTTCATATTGTCTCTCCTCTGCCTTAGTCTCCACTCGCAAGATGGATTAGTGCCCTCATACTAGAGAGCCTTGGCTCACATCTGGAATAGCTATTTCTGTAATATTATATTCTGACTTTCCAGGTGGCTATATATTTTAGCGAGATACTATTTAACCCCAAGTTAACTAAAAATAAATATCTTTACTTCTTGTGTTTCCAACAGTCTTCATTCTGCATCCACCTAGTGAATCTACATCCATACGTGTGCACATGCGCGCGCGCACACACACACATGCGCGCACACACACACATACACGGTCACTGGTCATATAGTTAGGCGTTTACTCAAGAAGCAAGAGGGTGGAGGGCTAGTTCTATACTGCTGTTCAGATCAGGCAATTTTCAAGGGAAGGAAAGTGGGACAAACTTAGAGGACAGTAACTAAGATCTCAAAATCTTATTACGCTGGCCACTATTGAAGAAACTGGTAGAAGAGGCAGGCAAGAAGAAAGTTGTGTACACATTTTTTTCAATACTTGAAGAACCGCTAGCTGTCTAAGTCTGGGTTTAGCTTTCTGTGCCCCTAGTTAGAAAGAACGCAATCGATTAGTAGAAACTACAACTACGTTTTATTTATTTATTTATAATTAATTAATTATTAATTTATGTTTTGGGGACTGCTCTTCATTTAACCCAGAACCTTGCATACAGAGACAAGCACTGTACCACTGCTCCACTTGCGGCCCAGAGGTTTCCATTTCAACTATGTTAATGGAAGATCCTTCCTAACTAGGGATGCCTAAGGTGTTAATAGAGTTGGATTAGGCGGCCCTGATTCCTGCAATCGCGCAATTGTTTCAAATGCCACAGCTGCTAGAACATAGCAGGAGCTGGAAAGAGCAGGGCAGGGAGGGCTGCTGACGGATTTTATTACTTGCTGACCACACCAAGCCAGTCTCTAGATAGAGATCTCTACTTCAAAGTGGGAAAAACACATACTTTTAAGGCCTTTTGCCCAGACAGAATGCTTCTCACTAGAAATACAGCAGTTTTCATAAAATCAAGTTCATTTCGCAGGAAGATATTTTATTCTAGGGTGTAGCAAGGAAAAGCTGAAAAAGTCTTAAGTCCGCAGGATAGTGAAATAAGATCGCATAGATCCCATTAGTCAAAGCCGTTGAGGAACTGCATATGTAGTGAATATCTGAAGAACAGCAGTTGAGGGAGTTGCTTGTAAAACTTTTTGGGTTTTTTTTTTTTTTTGGACTGGTATTGATACTTCAGCCCAGTGTGCTGAAGACTGAACCGGTTCTCAAGAAGCAGTAGCTCTGTGCTAAGACCAGGCAAGCTGATAACTTGGTCACATTAATCTTAGAGTTTTACGTTAAATTCTTTAAATTTTACTTTTATTTCTGCGTGTGTCTGTATATGCAAAGGAAGAAAGGCATAAAAGTAACAGTGGCAGCAGTACTAGCAGTTACGAAAGTAGAGAGAGGAGACAAATACCATATTTAAGGAGAATCCGAGGCCTGGGGATGTGTTCAGTGCTAGAGCACTTGTCTAGCTTGTGCAAGGTCTGAGATTCAGTCACCAATATGAACAAACAAACAAACAAACTTGGGTCTGATGGCACACACAAGTATCTTGGTGCTTGGGAAGCTGAGGCAAGAGGATTGTCATAGGTTCAAATCCAGCCTGGGCTACATAATGAGTTCAAGCACAGCCTTGGTATGTGGCAAGATCTTTAAAAACCAAAAATAAATACATAAATAATTTAAAAGGGAGCATGGGATCCCTGCTCCAAAAATAAATACATAAATAATTTAAAAGAGAGTAAGGGATCCCTAAGCTTCTTAGGTGTCTGTCCTGCTTAGATTCACGACACCTATTGTTGGCATCAGTCAGACACATGAGCTGATTCATGTTACATCAAAAGGCTCTTGTGCTGAGCCCTGAAGGCTGTGAAACACTTGACCACAAGAGAAAGAAGTGTATGAGGGCAAGATGGCAAACATAGAGAACCTGGTGCAGTGACTGAAAATATAATGTCTGTGTGCTCTGATCTTTCCTGTGGCTATTAATATATTCCTTGGGGAAAGCCCTTGAAACAATAGGTCTCTTATATCTGCTCTACTCCTTTTTTATCCTCAAGACCCTAACCTCCCTTTTTTGGCTTCCTTCCATTTTCTGTGTTGGAAAAGACAATACTCTCTGTAGAAAGATGTCGTTAGACATTCTTTCAGGTCAAACCTAGGTGCAAATTAATCATCCAAGAAAATACTGTGCAGACAGAGTTGGGAGGGTGAGATTTGGATGAAGGATGAGAGGTAATTGAAGATGCAGGAAGGAGCAGCAGGGCTGGGAAGGAAATGGGTACTGCTGGGAAATATAGTGGGCATTTCTTTCCTTCTGGATTTCCAATGGATTTTTTTTTTGAGGCAAAAAGAAGAAAGGGGGAAGAAAATTTTACTGGGCAGCTACCATATACTAGGCACCCTGGGAGATTACATGCACACATGCACACATACAACACATATACACATTCATATACACATACCATACACACATGCACAGAACACATAACACTCCATATACATATACACATACCAGACACCACCCACACATATACCACAAACACACATACATACATGCACACACATACATACACATATACACACTACAAACACATACACACATATGCCACAAACACACATAGACACTGAAAATAAACACAAATTCACACATACACAAACACACATGTATGGACACATATACATCCATATCATACACTTATATGCACACACATACAGATACAGACACACACACACATAGATGTATACAACACAAACTCATAAATTTTCAAAGATGGCATTAATTTTACTTCACGGATGATTACATAGGGAAATAAGATATGTGGTGGCTTGACCAACATGTCAATTATCAGTGGGTCCAGATTTAAGACTGATTTTGTAGGACTTTACAAAAATCATTTCCAATTTCCCATCGTCTATCTACATCTCTGCCATTGAAAGTGGAACCTTTTAGCAACATCCTGCCGTTGCTTCTGCCTCTCCTGGGAACCTTCTTTCTCAAGTGTCTTAGTTTTCTATTGCAGTCAAGAGACACCATGAACATGCCAACTCATAAAATAAAGCATTTAACTGGGGCTTGCTTGTAGTTCCAGGGGTTTAGTCCTTTATCATTACAGTGGTGAACATGGTGGTGTGCAGGTAGATACAGTGCTGGACAGTACCGGGAGTTCTACATCAGGATCCGTAGGCAGCAGGAAGACACACAGAGAGAAACACTGGGCCTGGCTTGAACTTTTGTAACC